GTCGATATGTGACCATAATCCTGTGTACTCGTCCATTCTGGTTGGGGAACCATCGTTCATCACTGTTAAGGCATGTTGCCGTATTATCATTTCCCACACCTTTCCACGAGAATCGCACCGGTCTGCACCCCATAAGAAATGCCGACTATTGGCGTCCGTGTTTATGATATACGGCTGCGGTAGCTGTGTAACCAAGTCGTTCAGTTCAAGGTACGTCAAATTCTCGTTTGGTGGTAAGTATAAAGAACAAACACAAATACGAGAATGCCCCATTGTCACCGAACATGCCACCGCCTGAAAATTAGTATTTAGTGTGACCTGAAAATGAGGTAGGTCGTTGCTGACGTAGATTGATGCTCCGCCTCGTCTAATATGTGCGCCAGAATAAGCGTTATAAAGAGTATATCCGGGAATTCTGAAATCATATTGGTCAGTAGGGAGGAAGTGTGTCTCTTGGAGACATACGGCACTATGTGGTCTTGCCAGCAGCAGTGGTTTTATCTCCGCCCACTTTGAAATCACACCTCTACAGTTCCACTGCATAATGCTGAAAGTCATTTTATTGTTGCCTTAGACTGCAGACTCCGTCCAGTCAAGCACACACGCCGACAACAGTTCGACATACCTGTACCGCGTACCATATCCCCACACACAAACATACAACCAATGCGCAGCCCGAACGCCGAAATCCAACAAAGGACCGCCACCAAAAACATGAAAAAATCAGATAAATAAATTAATAAATATGCCAAACATCGGTATGTACTACTTGTCCTGTAACTGCGAACAAAACATCTCAGTACATACACATTTCCCTTTCCCTTATTCCCCTCCCCAGCCAGCCCCAACCCCGCGGTCGGGACCAGGCGCGCTCCGGCCGGGCGAGTGGAAATAGCGCCTGTACCATTGCCCCCGGCAAGGATCACCCCGCACCCTCCGAAGGGTGACCTCCACGAGACAAACAACCTCAGCTCGTCCACCCCCTGACCCGAATTAGGTATCGCACCTGGATGTTTAACCTTACCTCCGAGAACCAAGTGGGCTGGGACTAGCCCAACCGGGCGACCCCTGCTCAAACCGAAAACGCAGCTGCCTCCGGAAAACACCATGAACTCGTTATTTAAGTCTGCCTCAACTTTGCAAACCATTTCGCATAACAATCCCGGCATTAAGGGTCCTAAAATAACTATGAAAACAAACACCACCGACCTCTGCATGCCCTCCGCACGAGAACAATTACGCGGAGAACGTCTGAATTTGCTGGCCTATTCATTCAAATATTCAACATACCTGTCAACCAATCACCAACAAACTATTCAGCTATTAACAAAGAAGAAAGAAACGTGGTTCACTCCATTTCAATACTAGTTAGTCTTCCTTCCATGACCTCCTTTGGCTGGAGTTTCTCTTCGGCCTCTCCGTAGATCTCCCTGCTCGGCTAATCATTGGTGATGGGGTAGTGTCATTAGGTACCTCAGATATGTTACATTGTTGTTTGTCCTTTTTCTTTGCCCTACATGCTCTCTGCCAACCCTCCATCTCCTCATTATGCTCCACAGTCATATGATTCATCTCCCTGTCCACTCTTTCACTTTCTACATCATCTCTCTGCATCACTTGAACCTCTCCATCATTCCTCCTCTCATAGGTTTCCTGCTCATCTTTTTGAGTGTCCTTCTGTCCCTCCGCTATAACATCCACCTCAACTTCCTCATCCTGTCTACCTACAGGTCTGGTACTGTCATCCCTCCCCCTGGTATTCCCCTGGGCACCTTGTTTCATCAGCAGTTGCTGAAGCAGAGCAATCATCTCACCCACCTTTTCTTCCAGTTTTCCTACTTTTTCCCTGAGGTCATCATGCTGCTTGTTAGTGGGAGCCACACTTGGGTGCCGGACAGTTGCAGCATATGACTTCAGGACAGGGGGGTCATGCTCTTTCCCATACTGCCTTCTAGCCTGAGGGTATGAGAGTTCTTGTTCAGTTTTAATCTTGCATATCTCCTTTTCTTTTTTCCATATTTCACACTCTCTGGCCATACATGAGTGTCCTGACTGTTTGCAGTTCACACACCAGCGCTCACATTCCCCTTCATGCTTTCCTTTCCTACAACGAAGGCATAAAGAATCACCAGGGCATCTTGTTTCAGTGTGGCCAAATCTGCCACAACCAAAACATATCAGTGGGTTGGGGATATATTGGTGGACATGGTATGTGATGTAATCTAGCTCCATTTTGGCTGGGCATGAGGACCTGTCAAATGTCAAAAGTATGGTTGGGGTATTCTCCATCTTTCCATCCACCCTCTTGGTGAATCTCTGAGCACCCACTACCCCCAAATTCACCCAGCCATCCCACAATCTCGGTCTCGGACAAATCTACAAGGTCATATGCAATGATGGTTCCCCTGGATGTGTTCATTCTTTGTTCCCGAACAACCTCACACTCCTCATTCCCAAACTTTTTGTTTTTCATGAACTTTTCAGTCTGTCCATGATTTTTGGTTTTTATCAGAAGGCTGCCTGCAGCCAGAAGATTCGCCTTTTCAACCTTCTCAGAGCCTCCCAGAACTCCTCTCACGCACATCTGGATCCATGGCCAACCTTTGGACTTGAATGATTTCCCTGAGTTGAGTGTTATTTTCAGGTATGAGCCTGAGGACTCCCCCCCTACCTGAGAAAAGAAAAGTTCATCTGTACGCACTCGCTTACCGGGTCGGCTCGGCCCAGTCATCTTCACTTCACTCCATCACCACCAAGAAGAAAGAACATTACACTGAGATTCACCCGAAGTCTTGAAACAGGAAGAAATTCAGAAGTAAATTAAATGTGACCCCACAGAACTCGCTTCCACCGTTCGTATGGCCTGTCAAAAATGCTCTACACTTATCCAGACACCAACACGCGCCACCCCAGACGGCCGGAACGTGTTGGCTTCAGCAGTACTCGAACGCGAATGAAAGTCCAGCCCAGGTTATAGAAACGCGTTTTCAATACGTCACTTCTGCGCCGGAAATGTGGTGAAATAGGACGAATCAATCGGAATCGGTTAGCACTATTCCTCACGTTGCTTACATTGGTTGCTTAGAAACGCATGTACGAAAAAATATATGCAGACGAACGCTATTGCCCGCAACATCTGGCATCGCATCCGGTAGCAACGGTTTTTGGTCAGGGTGTACTTTCCTTCCTAACGTTAGAAAAAATCATTGTACACCATTTGTCGTGTTTAAGGCAGGACATATCGTATATAATCACAAAACAGGTAGATTCATGCTCTTACTTTCAAACTTTTATCATTACAATGGCGAGCTCCCGAGCGCCGCACACACACAGCACCCGCGATACCGGCGCCATTACTGCGCGCGGTCACAACATTACTGCGCATCAAGCAGCATCAAGAACCATAAAATGTACCGGGCCAAGGTAACCAGAATCCATTAAATTTGATCCTAGACGCCAACGGGACGATGGGTTGCAGAGGGATTGGGTGGGGAATAATCATTGGTATCACAGCATCCACCATCATGCCGTTGCAACTACATTCGGCCTGAAATCCCCAATACAGTGGTCACGTGCCTTAAACTTAGCTACAAAACATCGCATGACTACAAAGTCCTCATGAGTCTCAAATCATTGATTCTCTCCACACAGAGCACGCCCCAAGCGAGCGCAGAACGCGCCCGCCCCTTGGCTGAGGGAACATCGCCAAACAGATCCAATGGCTTCATCGCGATGGGGCCATACCCTCTCAGCAGACAGACGGGCCATCCACAGCATCCGAGGGTAGGCTTTGCGCGGCGCGTGCTGGCACGGCGTCAGCCTACGGACTCACCATCTGGATCTGCTTGCTGTACTGCCGCAGCTCCTTGTAGAATGTGATGACAGCCGCCCACCAGAACCAAACCAGAGCGATCACTCCAAAGCCAAACACCACCGCCGCTGAAATCACGCCGGGATGCCCGGTGGTGATGGCTAAGGCGAATGCGGCGAGCTGGCCCACGGAGAAGAGGCCGAAAGACTATGCCGTAGAAGATGAGCCATGCGAGTATCATACCGGGACGGTCGTTATCCACCCCATGTATCAGAAGAATGTTGAATAGTATGGGCACCATGGCGCAAGCTGTAGCGATGCCCATCAGGATTTCAAATGCCTCCGATGGGTAAATTCTTGCCGAGGAGGATTCTGTGCATGCCAATTGCGTTTCGAACTTACCGCAGCCGTTTTGGCTGGGATACAGGCCTTCGGGGTAAACGATCCATGCGGCTGTTATTCTTAGCAGATTAAGTACATCCCACAAGAGAACACGCCGATGGCCTTGGTGCCACCTCTCAGACCGCAGCAACAGCAGCCTGTCAGCCCCATTCTAATGAGTGGAGAGTGACGCTCAGCACTTCTGGCGACGGCGTGACCAGCTGCGCTAGACGACGAGACGGCCCCCACCCTCGGATGTCCACGGCACAGTAAAGCCGGCCGCGGCGGTCGTGGGACAATCCCCCACGGCGGGAGGCCCCACCACGGCAATGCAGCGCACAACTCTTACGCCACCTTTGGTAGGTAGTTTATTAAGAATATTTTCTAGTGCCTACTAGACTTTAGATATAACTGGTCAAATAGCGCACATACATCTTAATTATATAAAAAAATACACACTCAGTGCGGATTTGATTGATCGGTGTTGTTTAATTTCTCCCTTTGAATAATATATCGCGATATTGTACGTGCGGCGTTATAAAAAGCTATATAATAGCCAGGTTATGTCAAGGTGCATGTGCTGCGACCGTGTATCTATGAATGTGACCAGCATGAAAGGAAACTGAATTCAAAATGGGTGAAGGGACGAAAATAAATTATTTTTGTTTGTTTTTACGATCAGAAAAGTATCTGAAGTGGCTGTGACATATAAGTTTAGCAGAAGTCATATAGGCTTCTTATTTCTACTACTAGATAGAAGTGAAATAAAAATAATTTAAGGATTATCGGCAGCTATGACGCGCGTAAGGCGTTACTTGTGCAAACTCAAACCGAGACAATTTTCGACGAAAATAAAGCGGGGTGCCCCTACTCCTGTGGTACAGCGCAAGGCCATGCGCGTTATAAGAGCAGGGTAGCAGGGTAAGTTTTTATATTGTGTCGATTCATGCAGTTGTTACAGACCAGGGCAGATCAACAACGCCGGCTTTGGGGAAGAGGAAAGCTTGGGGCGGAAGCCCTAAAATGTGTTTTGATTGTCATAACCCCATCAAATTTCGCTTCTTTTTAGCTCAAAAAGTACTCCAGAACCAACTCCTCTCAGTGCAAATTACCTTGTTTGTTTTTACAACCTAGCATTCATCATTCTTGCATGTATTTGAGTATTTAGAATCAACTATGGGTAGGGTGTCTCTCCAGGGCCACACTTGCCTACAGATCTTCAGCATGTCATGCATGTTTGTGTAGGTGCAGCAGTGTGTAAGACTGCGTCATAGTGCTCATTTTTCATCAATTTTATGCTGCTATATTTCATAGTGGAACATTTGTATGGATAACTGAATTGAATGAAAAAGTGAGAACTTATGGCATATTGTGCTGAATGTTTTGCATGGTCAGTTGGCTTTTGCATTAAATTTTGTTTAGTTGTTGCCTGGAATAAAGATGTTGCCAATTCTAAGGCATTGTAATAGGTGATATCCTCTGATTGGCATCAGGCAGAAGATTGTAGCTAAATGGTATTATATGCAGAGATTTCAGTGCAGCATTTCCCATCAATAGTTTGTGTCCTCGCAGGTAGCTGGAAAAGATGAAAAACACCATTTATGCTGAAGAAGTTCCCACTGATCTGACTGGATACACACTTGTGCTGGTAAGTGTTGAGTCTTATTCTATATCAGTTATGACCTGATAAGTACAGTATTATGAGTATGTTAAATGATAATATACATTATATATATATATATACATATATATATATATATATATATATATAATATATATGTATGTATATCCACAAAATTTGGCAAAATAGGCCAACTCTGGGTGCTGGACCAGTCCAGCAATGTGCACTCTCTGTGGTAGGGGGCACAACAATTGTCCTATGGTTTGACATATTGCCAGAATCATATTTCTCAATTTTGTCACCCTTTGGCTATGTTCATGTTCAGCACTGTTCATCTGTGTGTTCAGCCTTAGCTTGTCTGTTCATCTGTGTGTCTGGGGTTTCAGCCATCAGTGAGCGTGGGTAACGTGGGACAGCTGGCAGTGGATCTGCTGCTACACAACCTGGCCTGCATATATGTGGGCGCCTTCAGTCACCCCAGTGTGCAGGCTGTGGTCGGTAGCATGCCAGATGACAGCACTGGTGTGCCTCGCCTTATGACCGCCGTAGAAGGTATGACAACAAGGAATGGTAGAGGGGCCTGTAAAAGGTAGGGCGGCCATGGAAGATTGGGTGGCCCAGAAAGGTGGGGCATATGGAGAGGATAGCTTGGTTAAAGAAGGTAGTGTGGCTGTAGAAGGTGGTGGCCGGGGAAGATAGGGCGTCTACCGGGCTCACCGTCGCGTGTCACGTGGTGCATGTGCTGATGTGCAGCCTTGATCTTTTTTGGAGCCATGCCATTATATGGCATTGGGTTAGAATGTTGCAAGAGAAAGAGACAGCAAAATATGAGAGAGGTGACTTTATTCTTCATGGCAATTTTGTACCAGCAAAGAACACTGCTGTGGCAACACAAATTTGCTGGCTGAATTTTGGTAATAAGTTCAAAGGTTCAGTATCATGGAAGGAACGAGGCGAGGTATTGTTATGAGGGATGGTATAATAGTTCGGACTTTGGCCTTCGTCTGGTGTTGGTTCATTATTCTGTGGGGTTCAAAGTATTTTGCGAAGCATTGTGTGCTTAGTGTGGCACTTTACTAAACGTCAATGTTTCTGGCCCCCTGTTTGCGAAAACCAACGCGACAGATGCTACCTGCGTGAGCTGTCGCCATGGTGGCGTCCCTGGTGGATCTTCATTGTTCAGTCTCAGACGGCTGTCGTCTGATGTCTGGTGCTGATACCCCGTTGGGGACCGCGGAGCAGGTGGCTGGAATTGGTCCTAGGCTGTGATGTGGCATCGTATTTGGTATCTCTTGCATAAGCACAGGCATTCGGTCAGTCACCGTACGTTTCGGGGGTACAGACCATCTTTGGAATGATTAAATTGCCATCATTGAGTTACTTAAGTGTGTTTATGTAAGATGACCATGATCGTTGGGCTAATGCTAACCTTCACGCATGCCTGCTTTTGCAGCATACGTGTGCAAAGACAAGCAACTTTTTGTCATCCAGATTCGCTCTCCCATCTCCCCAGTAAGTACAGAAAGGTGGGCCCTATGGTCTCACCTGAGCTGGATCGTATCCCAATGTCTGGAAAGCCGTGCAGTGAGATCTGCTAGTTTAGTGTCCGGCTCGTATTTCTTGACGTGTTGTCAAAGCTTGACCCGAGGTTCAGCCCCGGTGGCACAGTATCGCTGCAGCGCAGCACTGGCGTCCCGCAGGTCAGTGCTGCGACGCCCCGCGGATCACCGCCGGTGCCGGTGCCGTAATGTGCGCCGGCCAGGAGCCCGACTGACCATGTCGCCGACTCTGCGGCAGGAGGGCCGGCTGTCGCTGCTGGACGACCTGGTGGCGTGGGCGGCGGCGCGCGGCCTGGCGCGGCTGGTGCAGCTGGCCAGCTGTCACGCGGCGGCGCGGCCAGACCCGGCGGCACCCGTCCTCTGCCGGCTGGCCTCGACCGCGCTCGACGCCTCGCCGCTGGACGCGCTGGCGCCGCCGCAGCCGGCCGCCGTGCCGGCGGACCCGGCCCGCCGCGCCGCCACGGCCCGGCCTGCCCGGCGCTGGGGTTCGTGTCTGACCTCCACCGGATCTGGTGCGTGATGCCACCGACAGGTCACGGGACCGTGTGGCCAGCAGGCGCGCGCCGCTGGAAACCAATCCATGTGGAGCGCCGGGTATGGCCCGATGTTACTTTAAAAATGGAATCGTGTAAATTTACATAACGGCCCTTATGGCTCGGTGGTAAGATCGCGTTAGTCAAAGCCTTGAACGTTGCAATATTACTCTTCAGAAGCCCAGCCATAAGCCCGCAGATGCTGACCTCTGATGCGCATCACCGGTCGCCCTCCACAGCCGGACGGCCCTCGCCCAGAACTGACGCAGTCCACACAGCCGTCACCTCTGATCTTTGGTGTCCCAGACGGCCCTCGCCCAGGACTGACGCGGTCAACACGGCCGTCACCCCTGACCTGTGGTGACCCGGACGGCCCTCGCCCAGGACTGACGCAGTCAACACGTCCGTCACCTTTGACCTGTAGTGACCCGGATGTCTCTTGCCCCGGACCTGTCCTGACTCACAGGCCCTCTGTATTCGGGGCCGCCTGCGCGCCTGAGGCGGCCTACGCGCTGGGCGATGGGCCGCGTCGCTTGTGCTGACCCACACCGTGTGTGACCCCGCAGCGAGACCCGTGACATGCCGTATGTCTGCCTGCTGCGTCACACGTACGAGGGGAACAACATCCCCGAGGCTTGTGTCACTCTGCGACTGTCTCGACTCGTGGATCGGTCCGTTCAACGTGAGTGATCTTCCCCGTTCTTGTTCGGTGGGTTCTCTTGCGCGATGTGGTGCGCGTGCCTCCGTCGTTTGCGGTGCGTACTCGACTTAGCAGTAGCCCAGTGGGACCATACGCTTGCTTTAGCGTGCTGTGGTCGTAGGATCGTCGCATTTTGGCCCTGGAGATGCAGAAAACCGCTTTAGGGAGTAGGATTAAATGACCACTCCAGTAGGGGATATGCTTATATGCTTTAGTCTTTCAGATTACATATCGATGACGCAATTACTGTAATGTCGATCCATGTCAATGGTAAGGTAATGTCGATGTCGATGAGCGGTACCGATAACGGGTGATTACCTGAGTTTTGATAATTAAGTGTTGGAATTTTAGCACATCCCGAGGTAAGTCTACGAACGCTGAGACTGAATCTACCATTTGTCTATACAACACTTGGATGTTGAGATGCGGTTACACTTTATAACTCATGCAGCGTCACTTCTAGGTAGACCCAAACTGAACCTGGTGTTTCTAAAGTATTGACTGGACCTATTACAACAATGTCTCGGTGTATTTTGCATGCAACTTGCAAAGACTGACGCCACCGCATTGGCGCCCACGCTAAAATTGCAATTTTTCGAAACAAGGCAACGTAAATAAAATGCTTGAGGCACAAGGCAAGGTCACGAAGGAATCTGAGTAGCATGTACGGTGCAAATGTATTATTAGCGTTCTCAAAAACTAGTCTTAAATGGGTCGAATTCCTTTAAACTTTCCGTTCATGCTGTTTTGTTTCGTTTTTATTTCTTTGCTTGCTTCTTTCTCGGTGAACAGTGCGGTGTGGTTGAGTCGGTTGATGCTTTCAAAGGTCCTAGCACCGTCACTTTGGCAGACACAGTCAACTGACGTCTCCGTAAGGTAGGTTTGGCTGCTACACCAGCCGCAGCGATCGGCGACCGCCTGGGCTCAAGGCGTTGCAACGGCGTACGATCAGGGGTCAGGTTGGGACACCTTGCCCATGTCAGGCTTGCCGACCCTGTCCTCCGGCTTGAAGAGTCTTAACCCGCTCCTCTGCCGCAGGAGGTCGCCCACCCCCGTCCGGCTCGGCCTGGACCCGCTTCGGTGCTCGGCCGCTGGAAGATGCCTCCCACCTGGTCGCATCTCTTCGGTGCAGCGTTGGATTCGAGGCTCTACTGACACGTGGTGGCAGCAGACACGTCGACGCAAGAAGGCCTGGACGAAGAGTACGTCGCCACCAGCACGGCCGATTTCTCTGATAACCTCGCGACCTTTCTGCGTGTAAGCTGATTGTTTCCGCCTGGTTATCGTCGGGCACAAGGCGACCAGAACAGGAACGGTGATAATAAATGATGTCGAAAGGAAGTTTAAGCAACGGTCTGTCATTCATAATGGCCAATGTCTTCATTGTCGTGGTGTAGTCTATGGATGGCATCGAACTTTTCGGCGAATCAGGGGTCCTGGTCTCCGCGGAACGCGCCAAAGCACGGAACATTCAAGGCAGTCTTTATTTCATACGCACCAATGCACCAGTGCTCGAGGATATCTCACAGCCGAGGCCTTCACTGGATATACACATACTCAAAGTCGGCCGTCTTGCCATTTTTGGCGTGCAACTTAAGTTTTCGATGAGCCTCGGACTAGTCCGAGCCCAGGCACGGCGTTAGGAACTGTTCGAAGTGGCCCAGAGCTGCTGGGCCTGCACGTGCGCCCGCCCGGGCGACCGCCCCGAGCCGAGACGACTGGGGAGCAACATCAGAGGCGCCAGTCTCGGGCCGGCGACTCGGAACGCCGCTTGTTAGAGCCCAGCTGCCGCATGGTGTCGTTGACGGCGCGCACCAGCTGGTCGCGGTACCTCTGCAGACTGGTGTCGCTCACCGTGTGCCGGTAGTAGTTGTCTCGACACTCGACAGTCAGTTCCTCCGGGCAGCTGGCGCGGTAGTGGTGCAGCAGCGCCTGGCGCGGCACCACGCGCACCTCGTGCTGCATGTACGGGTAGAGCGGCTCCAGCGCGTAGTGGTTGAACACGGTGAGCGCGCCGCGCGTGCTGACGAAGCTCTTGCTGCTGACACCGCGGCCGCTGAGGTTGGCGCTACGCTCGGTGTGGCGCAGCATGTGGAAGTGCTCGGGCAGGCTCGGGTCGGGCGTGCGCGTCATGTTGTCGAAGAAATAGACGTGGCGCACTGAGAGCGAGGCGAACCGGTGCAGCAGATGCGGATTGACCTCCTCCAGGTGGCTGAGCAGCGCCGGCCACGTGCGGTACTGCAGTGGCACCAGCAGCTCGTCCATGTCCACCGGCACCACGAACCGGTAGCGGTAGAGGCTGCGGTACAGGCAGTCGTTGTAGTGCACCAGCTCGTTCCGTCGCTTCTGCCAGATGGAGACGCGCATGAGGCGGCGCCGGTCGGGAGCGTAGTTGGGCTGGAAGCCGGGCAGCGTGACGTTCACCACCGTGGCCAGCCCGGCCGCCTCGTAGTGGCGCAGCACGCGCGTCACGCGCTCATGCGTAGAGAACCGATAGAAGATGAAGGCGTCGGCGCCGAGCAGCCGCTGCGCCTCCACCCACTCGACTAGGCGGCCCGACACGTCGTCTGGCAGGTCGAGTCCCTTCACGCAGACGGCGAACCCCCGGCGGCGGCGCGTGCGCTGCCAGCGCCGCAGCGGCGCCGCGTTCACCGGCAGCAGCGTGTCGGCCGGGCCGCACGGCGCCGGCGTCAGCGCCACGCTGCGAGGCAGCCGCGCCGCCGAGCGCAGGGGCACGACACCAGCACCGGGTCGTACAGGCGGCCGGTGTTGCTCGGGTCCCAGCGGCGCTCCCAGATGAGCTGCACCTGCGCCGGCACGCTGACGGTGCGGTTGGCAAAGGTCAGCTGACAGTGCAGCTCGCCGCCTGTGGTAGCTATCGCGCATGGCAATCACGCGCACGTAGGCGTAGGCGCGGCGGCGCACACGCAGCCGCCGGTCCGGGTACGCCGCCAGCGCGTAGTAGGACGTGTTGAACGGGTGTTGCCAGATGTCGTTGTTGAGCAGCACGGGCAGGCGGCGAGGCGCGTCGCAAATCTCCCACTCGCGCGACCAGAAGTCGCGACGCAGCAGCTCGTCAACCGTCTCCGGTGCTCGGCTGGCGGTGGCCGGCGAGCTGGGCGGCGGGTCGGCCGGCTCCCGGCCCGCGGTCGCCGTCCAGCGCAGCAGCAGCAGCAGCAGCAGCAGGCCGGCGACGGCGGCCAGCGCCAGGCGGCGCCGCCGCGAGGCCTGCCGTAGTCCGCAGGCCATGCTGCCGCCGCCGCCGGGTCAGGGTGTCATCTGACGCACGGGTAGGCGTTTCTGGGGGACGAGATGTTGTGGAGTTAAACGCACGGCGCGGGATCGCCGCATTTGCCAGTGGCTCACAGCCGTTGTCGCCTGTATGGCGAGGGCAATGAAGACCATCCACAAAGCCTCCTTATGTAGCTCCCAAGCCTCGGCTGCATTCGGTGTTGAATGCACCTCCAATTTTTAAGTTTGTAATTAACTTTTTGTATAGATACTCCAAACTGTTAAGCGTTTTCCTTCCCCTCCCTCCTCCCTCATGGTGCAATCAGTACCAAACTATTACACTCTACAGCCCTAAACGTGTCCCGTAAGCATTTTTCTAAATTGGACGACATAAATGTCCACGACATAACGTGTGGAGGGGCCTTAGAGCAATTCTTACGTCTTACTACCTTAAGCCTCTTACATATGTCGCGGCTGAACTCTGTCAACTAACGCAACCTTTGCTCACGAACTCGCAAATGCCACGTCACCCGTTCCAACCCACGTGTCTCTAGCGACTCACCTGCATAAATTACGTTGGGGCTACTCGGTCACGGCAACAGCTGATGATTGTCGCTGCGTCTTGAAGTTTCCCATGGAACGACATCAGCAGCTCCGGGCCGCCGGTAGGTTCACCGATGTACCACGAAACACGTCATACAGGCGCACTTTCCACGTGCCGGAGGAAATCCGCGCAATTTGCTTGTGAATTAGCCTGCGCCAATGCCCAACCTCGTATTATGGTAACCCGCCACGCGCACACACCCCACAACACGACGCGCGAGAGGTCGCTGCCCGACTGGAACGAAGCTACCCTCTGTGACGTCGGGAGGGCCGCCAGCGATGCCAACCTCGCCCGGGGCTATGCCGCTCGCAGTGCCACCTGTTGGCAGCGTGGGAAGGCCTAAGCCTCCTCAGTCGGTCGGCCGCAGCCCGCACCGCTCGTCGGCGGGCCGGGAGGCTTTTGTCCGTCACGGATGACTGAAGCTGTGGGCTTCCTCGTTTCGCCCTCTCTGACCTTGGAAACTTTTTAATCGTGCACTGCTATGCATGCCCTCTCAAATGCTTCCGACCCTTATCTGTGCCTGCGTATCAACTTCCTCGTGTTAGGATGGTGGTCAAAGCTCCGTCAGCGTTCCCAATGTTGTTCCCAATGACCCAGGTGGCTGCACCGGGCGCGGCGGACGTGCCTTTCGATAGCGGTGTGATACGGGTGTTTCATAATCATCGGCATCCCGTCTTATGTTGCGGTCAGCAGCAAAAACTGCATCGTAGGCCACCAGGACCGACGAGCTTTCAAAAATGGATGTGTGGTCACAAATGGCAGCACAGGCGGTGGATACGCAAGCTGCGACATCATCGCCAGGCTACCGAGACGCACGATTCTGATGGGTGGGGAAAAGGCCACCGGAAGCCGAGACTGCACATAGCGCTCGCGACCACATGCAACGCAAACTCCCCCATCTGGCCATGATCAAACATTGAACAGCCTCACGACATTGGGGTTTCTTCAGCAGCACTGGTCTCAGCACGTCCTCGGGTGCGGGGTTTAAATTTACCCCCCCCCCCCGCCCCATTAGGTTTTTCCGGAGCGGTTTCCGAACGTCGCGGCGTAGCCGCGCCAAATTTTGCGCAGCTACGGGCAATTGAATAGCGGATTGTTTCGTATCAAAAATTTAATGTGCTTTGTAGGTCGCTGACTTATTATAGTTAAAGCTAGGCCATGTTTAAGGGGAGTACATTTCTAGGGAATCGTTTAATCTGATGCAACAGCGGAGTATTAGACAAATCATGCATCTCCGAGATGCTTTCTTAGGCAACACAAATGAATGGGCAAATTATATTAACCTGAGATCAGGTATAAAGGTCACACCAAGGTCACAAACCAACTGTTTTATTACTCTAGGGTTTGCTGTGTGGGTTAGCTTATGGTGCTCATTCAGAATTGATCGATAGAAGAAACTGAATTATGCATCGTCCATGGACTTTTTAGAGGTCAGAATACGTCGTTGACCTAAAATGACCCGGGCCAACATTTTATTTTAGGAACATATTGCCTAGCGTAACGTGGTCGCTTGTTGAAACGCAAGACTCAATTTTGTATAATTTGCCCACCATGAACTTCAAAGGGGTCAAACAAGGTCACTGACCTCAAATGGGCACGTGGCCTTTTGCTTAGGAACAGTTACCTAGGCTCTGGTGGCACCTTGGGGATCAACTCGGAATTGACCGTATTTGACCCGAAGGCCATGACCTAGTAACCGCCCAAATTTTGACCGAAGTGAGTTCACGTAAAGGTAAACCCCGTCACCTATGAATTTCAACCCTGCGAATTTCGTGTCTCCAGCTTTCTTAGTTCCTGAAATCTCAGAAGGGTTAAATTGACCCTCCGAGCGGTGTTCAGGCGGCCACCCGGACGCGTGTTAAGCGGCCATCGGAGGGCTGCCCGTGACGTTGCGCGACTCGCCGGGAGGGGCCTTTAAATCATCGACTTTGGTTCCCTTTGCCCGAGACTACCACCTGTCTCGGCACCGACGCGTCATCCTTCCACCGCTTCCCGGGCGGCGTCTCCAGGCCGTTGCCGCGCCCACGACCGACGTCAACACCAGCGCAGTTCGTCAGCTGTATTTCACAGTCAGTCATACCCGGCGTCAGCTCGCCGCGTGCGCGCCATAAAACGCGTGCTCGTCGCGACCAGCGCTGCGCGGCCGGCACAGTCCACAGCGCCACACCACGCCTATCACAGATGTCGACGTCCATATGTTGCTATCGTATAGATATTTCCGCAGTCAAACGACAGGGCCGACGGCATGTCAGGGACGCACCCGCGCCGCCACCAGATTAGCACTCGACAAAAGGTGTTCGGAACACGCCGACGTCGGCGCACACAGACCCCCCGCACCCGGACACGCCCGGCGCCGGCGAGAGCGCGCACGGTGCGACGCCGCAGCGCCTGACAGACACCCCGCCTGCACCCTCAGAGCATGCCCACGCCTTCCTGGTGCCGTCCACCGCCTACCGGAGACGCCAGGTCGCACCACGGATGGGACGCCTGGCAGGACGTGACAGCTCCGCTCCCTCACTTTTATCTAAGAAAGCGCGACTTCGGACGATTCTACGCGTGCCAGAGAGCGCATTGCACAGCCGGCTACGAAAACGGACACCGATTCGCCGACGGAGCGTGTGGCGGCCGGATCCTCGTATAAACAGCCAGACCGAACACCAAGCGGACCGCGCCACCTGACGCCCCGTCGGCCGGCAGAGATCAGTGATCTGCACACTTGAGACGGCGCGGTCCGCCGGGCCGGGCACCCTCCGCGCACAGCGACGGCGGCACGAAGGCGTGTCACCCCCGCCACCGGGAGCGGGAGCGGCCAGTCTGCGCGGCGGCGCGGCTCAGACGGCCGGCGGTTCGCTGGCGTGGTTCTCGTCCGGCCGGCAGATCTGGTAGGTGATCAGGTACTCCGGGTAGGCCTACCGAAGGCCGGCCCATCGTCAGCCAGCCAGCTCCGCCCACACGCCCGGTCACAGCGGCAAGCCCCGTCACGTTCCGTGGGTGCGCGGGGAAGGCGGCTAAAAAGTCACATTGTTAAGTTCTGTGGAAACCTATTGAGCGCATGAAAGAATAGTCTCAACGATTAAAAATTACTGTTTAGCTAAGATGTCGCCAGCAGCAGGACCACGACTCACCTGTTCTCCCCGGCACACCCCGCTCCGGGGAAGCGGTGCTATGACTCACCTGTTCTCCCCGGTACACCACATACTCGGGAAAGCAGAGGCCACCGGCGCTGGGCCGGCCCACCACGCTGTGGTGGCCGGCGGCGCGTGCGCCATCTTCATCGCCGAAAACTGCAGGAACGACTTGCCCAGCGCGGCCGACACATCAGCAGCTGCCTGCGGATGGAGAGGGGAGAACGACGGTCGGTCACGCCCTACTGACGGACCGCGGCCGTCACAGCACGTGTTCGGTGACACTGCACACTCATGCGGCACTACAGAATCCAGCTCCTTAAAACAGACGACGTGGAGCGTGGATTCAGACTGTCGCAGCGGGCGCCATCCAAAAGCCACGGGTAAAATTAATGTCTCTTTGTTTCATGCATTGCACGAACCATCCTGAACAGAGCCATCGAAATCAACCGCTGAGGGCATCTTATGCCCAGAAACCTGCCAAGTCAAACGGCACTCGCAACAAGGCGCACTTCCACCTCTTTGGCGCCCAGGTCTCCCCTTGATTTGAGAGACGAGCCGCTCAGTCTCCCCGCCGTCGACTTAGCACGCCACCTGGCCGTCGCTAGAGGCCCTCCCGGGTCACACAGGGGTCGCGGTCTGACCTGTGGCACACGTAGCAGGAGCGGTCCTTGTGTGCCGGACAGCCGGTGCCGCCGCCGATGCCGTGCACGTACTGATTGCTCTTGGACGAGTTCTCGGCGAAGTAGATCCCTGCACGAGCACAAGGACGGACGGTTCGGTGAGATGAAGCGGACGACAGACGTCAGCTAGCTAGGCAATGCCAGGGGGCGGTGAGGCCGGATCAAGACAGGAGAGCACCCGGCAAGCGTTCTAGCCTGTCAGCCCGCGCGCCTGCCTCAACGTTTGTCCAGGCCGACAAGACGCGCCGGACACTAGCAATGCTGCCCCCCGCCCGACCCCCGACAGCAGCGTTCATCTCGCTGCTGTCGGGGCCCGAGTTCATCTCGCTGCTCCCGCCGGGCTTCCCGCTGACGCCGCTGGCGGCCGCGGCGCGCCCCACAGTCCCGCCACGGCGTCCAGCCGGCGCCACCCACCGGCTCCGAACATGCCGCCGATGTAGGCGTGCCGCTCGTCGAAGCCCTTGTGCACGATGGCGTTGATGAAGGGGCGAGCCGTGGAAGAGGATGCGCTCGCACGCCTGGCCGCCGTTCTCCTCGGCCACCTCCTTGCGCCGGTGCTGGTAGCGGTCCCACAGCCGGCGGTTCTGCACCTTCTCGATCTGCCGGACGCCAGGGGACGGTCGGTCAGCGTCACGCCGGCACCGCTCGGCGGCCACCATCTGCTGCCCGCACGCCTCGTGACGAATAGGAATGATGGTGATGGCGATGAATTTGGGCTTGTGCGCCGACTACCCTGGTCATATGGCGCCATGTGAAAAGGAATTGCAAAATCGCAGTTTCATCGGATGTTCATGCTTCGAGTTCCACATGCAGGGCGTTAATGTGGCTTCTCAGCTCAAGACAAGCCTCAATCTATACAGAAACAATAAATTAATTCAACAACAGGCGTGACAGTGGCTACCCAGATACCAGTAGCCTAACCCGATTGACACAAGTACCCAACAAGGCAATTCATGGAGAGGCAATAAATGCACATCGATGCAACAGTCCATCGATATCACTATGACATCACAAGGCATCGAAAGGGCGTTTATACGAACCCAAACATAGATGGGCTGCACAAGGACAGGGTTCAAATGATCCCATTGAGTACAAGGTTTGACAAAAGGATACACCTATACAAGAACAACCGACACAGCCCTGGCAGATCGTCATAGTCTACCCTGCCCAGACCACCAGACACCTACTTTGATGATGGTGTAGCGGTTGAAGATGCCGCCGGCTTGGCCGCTGTCCTTGTGCTCCATGATGGTGGACTGCATCTCGTGCTCCACCGCCTGGTACTCCTTGTCCTCAACGGGCAGGTCGACCAGGCTAGTGCCGGCTGCCTGGCTGCTGTGCCAGCCCACCGCTGCCGTGCCGAGGAGATGCGCGGTCACGGGGCGCGCGGCCGGTGCATGGAGCGGGCGGCGAGCGGCAGGCTCAGCCGCCTCCCCTCCCTCCCTCCCTGGCATCGACCGCTGGCGTCCGCTTACACAGCCCCGCTTACAGGCGGCGGCCTAGCTGCGGCCAACGGACGACCGCCGTGCCGTGCCATCCGCGTGGGTCGTCGCGAAGGCTTGTGTAGCTGTCTACCGATACCTAAATAAATGCGACATCACGGCATCGAAAATACGGGCCGACTGACGAGTCCAACGTAGCACCGGACCACAACACTGCCACATCCGACGGCCGGTCAGATCCTCAGGAGGCGGTCACGACACAAGAGGAGGGCTTCGTGAGCCGGCGCCGCTCCGCCGCCGCCGCGGCGAACACCACCGGTGGCCACTGACCTTTGATGAGCTTGTGTCGGTGGCCGTAGGCGTTCACGCCGATCTGCTTGAGCTCCTCGTGTCCCATCTCCGAGAGGATGTCCAGTGTGATTTGCTCTCGCTCGAAGATGTCGCGCAGGTGATCCAGGCCGAGGCTGGAGCACGCAGCACGGTCTGAGTCACGCCCGCCCGGCACCGCACCAAAACACGAGCGATGCTGCCCGCGCTGCTGTGCCACACTGGTCAACGTGACGCAACAACCGAGCTGCAGCAATAGCGCACAAAAAGCGACCTTCGACTTCAGCAAGCAGAACAACATCTACATAATTCCAGGAGACGTCAGGAGGGAAGCGGGGATAAAGATGATAACCTTTCCGTCCGAGGCTTAAGAACTCTGCCGCAACGATTTCGGTTGTCTTTTTTCAGTGGGTATAACGGAGCATAGGAGTTCATTCACGCTTCACTGTGGGTAAAACCCCGAACCACACAATGATACAATGAAGGCACAGAAGAGCATATATAGAGCCAATAGACAGAGCCAAAAAGCAAAAAAGAGATAATAGAGCCAAGACACAACGACCTACACACAAGGATACTCCCACTTGTCAATGTCAATCCCTAGCCTTCGGCGCCGGACCCAACGCCACCGTCCTCCGCGTGGCAGTCTGGCCCTCACCTGCTGAGGAAGGCGGGCGATCGAGGCGTTTGGCGTCGGCTGGCTCCTCGTCCACCTCCACGTCCGGCACGCAGGCGCTGCCGTCGCCGCTGAACGGTGCCGGCGGCGCCAGCGGGCACGTGATCAGCAGTGAGTTGCCAGAGGGCATCATCACCAGCTCGCCGGCCGCGGCGCCTGACGGGACGCGGGGAGCGGTCAGCGCCACACCCGGTCACGGCGGGCGCCGCACGGAGACGTCAGTACCGCGCTGACCACCGCACGGACGGGGACACTTCAGACCACGCCTCTCTGGCCATCGGGCGGACGGAGGGGCACGTTACAACACCGGCCAGCCGCACACCCGCACAGCCACATGGCCGACGCCCCGCGGGCCGTCGTAGCCAATACTGGCGCCGCCAGTGACCACTGGAGACGTATGAGCGAGCCCAAGACGGCCACAGACGTCCCTCGGCGCTCCCTCCCCCGGCCCGGCCCGCTCCCGACACTGACCGGCTTTGCGGACGGCCCGGCGCGGCGGCCTCCGGCGGCGGCCGGCCGTCCGGAGCGGAGCTGGCCGCCGCCGGAGCCGGCTGCGGCATGGCGTCCTGCAGCAGCAGCGCACGTCCTCATGCCGTGGCCAGATCGAGCGGCGTCTGGTCCTCCCTGGTTCTTCATAGCACGGGTCGGCGCCGTGGGCCAGCAGCAGGGCGCACAGCTGCGTGCGGCCCTTCTGGGCCGCCTCGTGCAGCGGCGAGAAGCCCCACCGGTCCATGGCGTTCACCACCGTGTTGAACTTGATGAGGAGCGCGGCGATGTCCAGGTGGCCTGCGTTCCGTCGCGACCCGTTACCGATGTGACTCACGACGACACGGCGCCGCTCCGGCCCGGCACCGCCACTCCCAGGGACGCAAATGCTGATGTTTGTGTGCTCAGGCGTACCACTCAAGTTGCGGTGCTATCCGTCTAACAAAGATCACCGCACTGAATACCATCCCAATGTCTTAATGCCAACGCACATCACGCCACCCACTGTGTGAATCACACGGCTCACATCACGCCAGCCACCATGTGACTCACTAATGGCAACCAGCATCACACTCACACCACGTCAATTACCATGTGACTTACATGACTCACATCACCAACCACCATGTGACTCGGATGACTTAAATTACGTCAACCACCGTGTGATTCGTGTCATGCCAAACATTGTGACTTGCATGACTTGATTGCATCACGCCAGCCAATGCTTAACTCACATCACTCACATCTCGACAACTCACCATATGACGAGGCGTTGTGGAGGGGAATGAGGCCTCCCTTGTCCTGGGCGTTCACGTCCGCGTTGTTCTCCAGCAGATATTCTGCCACCTCCACGTTATTGTACCCAGCTGAAACGGATATATAATCGATACCTAACCAGAACACACACACCAGGTAAGCATGCTTTCTCGCAATGAACTGTTGATTCCAACTGCTGAAAGACATCGACCCTTCGTCTAAATCTCTTCGTTCGCCAGGCGATTTATGCATAGCCAGTGATGACCAGCAAACAACACTGCGTTGCCATCCAACTTTGGCAGTTCTAACGATTCGCCAGACCTAATCAACATACCAGTGACTTTCCTTAGATGGCAGGCGGTACACACCGGTCAACAGCGTTTAAGCAGCCCTCTTTGCACGTCCTCAAGCGAGCCCAGCGTCCAGCTCCAGACGACTCTCCCTGTGCGACCAATACCTGACAGGCACGGCCCAGCCGCCGAGCCGGTTGCTGGGGCGTTCAAACGCGCCGCCCAACCGGTGACCTGCCCAAGTGTGCCCGTCCCTGACCTGCCCTTGACCTGCCCGGGCCCGGTCAGACCCGCCAGCTGACCTGCCAGATGAAGCGGCGTGCTGTTGCGGCCCTGCGAGTCGCGGCAGTTGATGTTGTCGGGAGTGAGCAGGCGCTGCAGGCGCGCCAGGCTGCCTTTCTTGGCGGCGTCCAGCACGGCGGCGTCTCCCAGCAGCAGGTCGGCTACCTCCTGGTCGGCCTCCTTCACCAAGTCCAGCGGCGTGAGGCTCTCGCGGTTCTTCTTGCCGGCGTCGGCGCCGTGCTGCCACGCACACCACCACCCGGGCACAGTGAGGCAACGGGCGCGACACCAGCGATCACAGCAGCACTAGACACAGCCGGGAGAGACCCTCCCTCGCGCGCAGACGGCGGCGCTCTGGCTGGTAGCGGCGCACACGTCCGGCTTCAGGGCCAGCTTACAGTAGAAACGTTTAATTAAAACGTTCACATTTCCAGGTCGAAGGCTTAAAGCACCCGGAATTATCGAGCGACCTCCAGCCTCGTCCGCTCGGGGGCGGCACGCCGGCTATACTGGCCGGTCGCCTGACGGTCCCCAGAGCATCAGCCACTGAGGCGCAAGCAGCGAATATGACGGACAGCGGCACAGCGCAGCGCGGAGCAGGGACGCCTCAGCACCACCCACCTTCAGCAGCAGCTTGACATGACAGACATGACATGACAGACAGCGGCACAGCGCAGCGTGGAGCCGGGACGCCTCGGCACCACCCACCTTCAGCAGCAGCTTGACAATCTCGTATTTGCCCTTGGCGGCGGCCTCGTGCAGCGGCGTGAACTTCCAGAGGTCGGCCACGTTGACGTTAGCGCCGTGCTTCACCAGCAGCTCCGTCACCTCGTAGTGGCCGTACGAGCAGGCGTTGTGCAGCGGCACCAGGCCCCTGCGGCGACGCGAGTGAGGTCAAACGGCCCGCACCGGCCGCACGCAGCGCTGTCAAGCACCGCGAGCTGCTGGCGGTCAGCAACGCACCCCGACAACCGCTAACAGTCCAGTTTGTGCAACAACGCGCCTTAACCTCATATAGCACAAGAAACGGGTGTCAAGACACGTACACGACGACCAGCGGAGGAGCTAAGATTTCACTTTTCTCAACCTCTCAACAGTGCGGGAGATATTTGCATGCCGCAAAGTGTCCTGCCCAGCATGGCATTTGCATCTCACTTTACCAATGCGTTTCCTGCGACGATCTGCTACTTGAACGAAGTCGTCGCCGACTACATGCGGTACTGAAAGTACATGTGCCATCCTGGCCTCCGTTCCAACCAGCCGGCTAGCATCGGGGAGTCGCGGCAGGCACGCTCACCCCTTGTCCTTGCATGCACGTCGGCGCCGTGGTTCAGCAGGAAGTCCACCACCGGCACGCGGTTGTAGCCGGCCGCGAAGTGGAGCGGCGTCGAGTGCCTGGCGCGGGGACCGGGCGTGAGAAACCCCCGGACAGGTGACGGGCTCGCTGAGGGACCGGGCAACCGGCAGCTCCTGGCACAGCACTGGAGCGGCCGGCCCTCCGGCTGCGGTCGCAGCTGTGATCTTAGCAGCATCCCTCCCCTCCCCCTCTCCCCCCCCCCCCACACACGGCATACTGGACAGAGCAGGAGGTAATCAGCCCTGCAGCCTCCCTCCTCCCCCCTCTCCCCTCCCACACACACATTGCATACTGTACAGAGCAGGAGGTAATCAGCCCTGCTCCTCCCCCTCTCCCCTCCCACACACATATTGCATACCGGACAGAGCAGGAGGGAATCAGCTCTGCAGCCTCACTCCCCTCCCCCTCTCACACATACGGCATACTGGACAGAGCAGGAGGTAATCAGCTCCGCAACCTCGCTCCCCTCCCCCCTCTCCCCCTCCCACACATACGGCATACTGGACAGAGCAGGAGATAATCAGCTCCGCAGCCTCCCTCTTCTCCCCTCCCACATACACGGCATACCGGACAGAGTAGGAGGTAATCAGCTCCGCAGCCTCCCTCTCCTCCCCCCTCTCCCCCTCCCACACACACATGGCATACCGGACAGAGCAGGAGGTAATCAGCTCCGCAGCCTCCCTCCCCCCCCCCCCCCCTCTCCCCCCTCCCACATACACGGCACACCGGACAGAGCAGGAGGTAATCAGCTCCGCAGGCTCCCTCTCCCACACACACATGGCATACTGGACAGAGCAGGAGGGAATCAGCTCCGCAGCCTCCCTCTCCTCCCCCTCTCCCCCTCCCACACACACATGGCATACCAGACAGAGCAGGAGGGAATCAGCTCCGATATGTCATCATTTCGTTGACCGTGCCACTCAGTGTCGCGTGTCTCTAGTTTTACCAAGTACCCGCGTTAATGATTAGCAAGCATCCTCTAATCCATCTCACAACACATAGCTCTTTTATATCTTATCCCATACCAGCTGTCCTCTTTCGATACAGCGGGCGGTACTGCCGCGTGAGGTACACTGGCGCCGCCTCCAGCTCGGCGGTCAGCGAGGGTGGTCTGCTGCGCTCGGGGGCGTGGTCGCCGTTACCGGCCACCCACCTGCCGGTCCAGGTCCCGGCAGTTGACCAGGTGCGGGTGGGCCGACACTAGGCGGCGGCTTACGTCCAGGTCGCCGGCCTTGGCCGACTCCAGCAGCTGGTACTCGAGGCTGGTGCTGGCCACACTCGGCTCGTCTGCGGGCACCGCACCGCACCGCCGCGGCTCAGTCGGCAGCCCGGCGGCACCGCACGCCGACGCCCCCTCCCACACGCTCACAAAACACCACGACACACACACCAGCTGAGCACTCAGCACATGAAGAACAGCACCAATGAGTACGCGTTCGTTATGACTGGGAGGTTGATTGCGGCGTCCGTACCGAGAAGCATCTTCTTGACGGGCTCCGTGGACACCTGGGCGGCCGTGAAGCCCTGCAGCGAGGCGATGCCGGTGTCGACGCCGTACGACAGCAGCAGCCGACACATGGCCACGGAGCCGTCCTGGCCGGCCCGGTGCAGCGCTGAAACCGACCGGTGCCGTCACACGCCAGACGGCGGAGGGCGCGCCGGCGGCCAGGCGCGCGGGTCCGGACTGGTGGCGGCAGACGGGCTGGTGCCATCACATGAGGTCGGCTCGCAGGCGTACAGCCTCGTGCAGATGCAACAGATGCACCAAATCAATTCGCGCCAGGCGTACGCACACAAGATGCCCCAACAAGGCCGTCAAACAAAATAGCACCATCCCATCGTGGTTGAAACAAAGTCGACAGCTTCTTGGCCTACGTCAACACTGGAGCGGCACAGGCCGTGAAGAAGCCCCTGCTGCCGTCCCCAACAGCCAGTCCTGGCACAGCCAGCCCCGGCCGCCGGCCCGCCCGCCGCGCACGTCGAGCCCGCCCTCACCGGTCTGGCCGTGACTGTCGAGCTCGCCCTCACCGGTCTGGCCGTGACTGTCGAGCCCGCCCTCACCGGTCTGGCCGTGACTGTCGAGCCCGCCCTCACCGCTCTGGCCGTGACTGTCGAGCCCGCCCTCACCGGTCTGGCCGTGACTGTCGAGCGCGCCCTCACCGGTCTGGCCGTGACTGTCGAGCCCGCCCTCACCGGTCTGGCCGTGACTGTCGAGCCCGCCCTCACCGCTCTGGCCGTGACTGTCGAGCCCGCCCTCACCGCTCTGGCCGTGACTGTCGAGCCCGCCCTCACCGCTCTGGCCGTGACTGTCGAGCCCGCCCTCACCGCTCTGGCCGTGACTGTCGAGCCCGCCCTCACCGGTCTGGCCGTGACTGTCGAGCCCGCCCTCACCGGTCTGGCCGTGACTGTCGAGCCCGCCCTCACCGGTCTGGCCGTGACTGTCGAGCCCGCCCTCACCGCTCTGGCCGTGACTGTCGAGCGCGTTGACCTTGGCGCCGTGCTTGAGCAGCAGGTCGACGCTGTCGGCGTGGTTGCAGTCGGTGGCCACGTGCAGCGGCGTCAGCAGCTCCTTGTTCTTCTCGTTGAGCGCGGCGCCGCGCCGGATCAGCAGCTCCGTCACCGCCTTCCGCTTCACGAACGGCGAGCTAACGGCCGCGTGCTGCAGACCAGGGCGGCGCCGGCGTGACAACAGAGCGGAGCGCCCGGAACACGGGCGTCAGGTCACTCACGTCACCAGCGTCGAGTAAAGCGTCCACCGTGATGAAGATAATGACACCGGCCAGATCATCAGATCAGGGCAGAACACCAGCATCGGGTTATGGCTGGACACCAGCGCCAGGCGAGGACCAGATACCACAGTTAGGTCAAGGGGGAACAGGTCAGGGCAACACAACGGTGTCAGGTCAGGTCAAGCAGGAGAACCCAGACAAAACAAAAATATCCTGAGTGCAAAATTCAGCAATGATCACTGGGATTGTGCACACAATGGGAGGTAGGGTGCCACCGAAAGACGCTCCATTTTGACAATAATGGCTCGGCATTGACAATCAGGGCAGCCACCGAAGACACCGAAGTATGCAGCAGGCGAGACCCGAGACAATCTGCGACGAAATTCCCGCCCGAGCGATGATGATGGGGACTTGACTTTGGGGGCGCGTCGACGGCGGAGGTCATTGGTGCCCATAACTTAAGTTAGGAAGTCCAACATTTTTCAACTAAACGGAAGAAGAAAAATACTGAAAACCTGACGTCCGTAAGAAATGAAAACAGCTGACTCGAGTTCAGCTAGTACCAGTGGTTCCCAAAGATGTCTGAATAGCTTAGATGCTGGGCTGTCGTCCGAAGTGACGCAAGTGCTCTTCCATGAAATGTGGACAAGAGTGGGACCCAAGCCACGCCGTTAACGCCTGCCAGCAGTGATAAGCCAGCCCGCGAACGCGACGTCACGCAGCAGCCGGACTCGTACCAGCGGCGTGTCGCCGGTGTGCGGATGCTTGAAGTTGACCGAGTCGCTGGAGAGGAACTTCTTCACGCGGGCCGGGTCGGCCTGGCGGGCCGACTCCAGCAAACTGTGGCCCTTAAACTCGTCTGGCGGCGCACACACACAACAGATGGGCTTAGCGCAGTGCTCAAGAATGTAGCGCAATTTTAGCCTCGAAACCTCGGACCAGAGATAAGGACGTCGTTCAAGTCAGCTGAGTCACATCAAGAGCATTGCATTCTGAGTTATCGCAGGATTGCGATCACACTGACAGCAGCCTTCCTCTACTTCCACAGATGATGACCTCACGCCAAAAAATGGCATACACATAGGATGCAGAATGCCTTCATCGAAACGAGTATCAGTGATTCCAGGAAGTGTTGCAGCTATGATTTATGACGCCAAAGTCCAGTCATGCTGCAAGCTAAACGGACACCTGTATCGCCCCATCTGCCACCGTCTGACGGTGTGCACGAGCGCCACCCCGCCCGGGGCTGACGCCGCCGTTACGAGGGGGGGGGGGGGGGGGCTGGCCGCCGCCGGCAGCACCACCTACAGGCCAGCCGGTGCTGCAGCTCGCGCGTCGGCGCCGCGTCGATGGCCGTCTTGGAGTGGCAGTTGAGCAGGGTCGGATCGGCGCCGTGGCACAGCAGCAGCGAGCACACCTCCAGCCGCATCTTGCTGGCCGCCTCGTGCAGCGGCGTGAACTGCCACAGGTCGGTGGCGTTCACGTGCGCGCCGTGCTTCACCAGCAGCTCCGTCACCTCGTAGTGGCCGTACGAGCAGGCGTTGTGCAGCGGCACCAGGCCCCTGCGGCGTCGCGAGCGGCCAGTCGTCAGCGCAGAGGAGACGTACCTACTACACCGGGGCCGGTCTGCAGAGCCGGCCGCCCACACCGCCGCCGACGTGCGAAAAACGATCACAACTAACGATAAACAGCTTGTGAGACAACTTGACTTCTAACGTGCCGTACACATTGCAGTGACAGCCCCACGCCCATCCATACCCTGCCGCCTGGCCACAGCCGCCGCCTGGCCCGCCACCGGCCACTGACCCCTTGTCCTTGGCATGCACGTCGGCGCCGTTCTGCAGCAGGATATTGACGATGCGGGTGCGGTTGTAGCCGGAGGCCAGGTGGAGCGGCGTCGACTTGCGGCCGTCCGAGGCATGGCAGTTGACGTTGAGCGGCGTCAACAGCGACAGCAGGCGCTCCTCGTTGCCGGAGCGGGCCGCCTCCAGAAGCTCGTCCTTCTTGTACTCGCCTGCGGCGGTGGCGGCGGAGCGGGAGGTCAGGCGGGCGATGCGCGGCGCTATGTGGCGGCTCTCGGCCATCCCGCAGACACTCCGGCCGAAAGCTAGAGGGCCGACACATACAAGCGCCTTGGACTCGGTGCCAGTTTGGAGCCAGTTAGGACCCCCAGACACCCTCTGGCCGTTTTCGAATCGGCGGAAGACGTACTTCTTCGTCGTACGTCTTCCAGATGAAAACACGCAGCCTATTGTACCGCAATGACTACAAGTGTCTGCCCCTCTGCAAGCGTACTGGAATCATGTGTCACTTTGGCAGGATACACTTCAGTCTTAACATAATTTCCCAGTATCAGGCACCGCTGTGCTCTGTGACCGCGCGACGTTAATAGACAGCCCTCGCCCGCCGCGCGCGGGGGTCCACTGACCGGTGAGTACGGCCCGCGTGGCCAGGTCGGCCAGGTCCAGCGCCGTCTTGCCGTCCGTGTTGCGGATGTTGGGGTCGGCGAAGTGCTGCAGCAGCACTGCACCGGACGGCCAGGCCGTCACACGAGCGTCACAGGGGGCGGCGGAGGCGGCGGCGCGCACGGCGGCCGCCTCGCACCGTCCAGTGCGCAACACAGCAGACCACAGGGACAGGTCGGCGGCCAGCCGCAGTCACGCACGCTGACGGCCGCGAGGCTCAATATAATGACAACACGCACTCTTTTCGGCGAAAACTACGCCTCGATTCTACAATGCCAGGCCTCATGTATACGCTCGATGATTTCATGTTTGTGTCATAACTTTCAGTGCAACACGTCTCATTTACGAGCAAACATGGCTAGCGATATTCTCTCGTTCGACGTTTTGATGTTTGACGACCTATGCTACCCTATGCAGGAAGGTCAGCACACTGCAGCACGCAGCACAATTCACGCCTGCCACAGGCGCACGTGTCACGCGCGTCGCCGCCGCGCCCACCTATGCAGACGTCCGTCTTGCCCTTGATGGCGGCCTCGTGCAGGGGCGTGTAGTTCCAGTTGTCGCGCGCGTTGGGGTCGGCGCCGGCGCGCAGTAGCAGCGCCACCACCTCGGCGTGGCCGAACGAGCCGGCGTTGTGCAGCGGGATCAGGCCGCCGTCGTCGCGGGCGTGCACGCTGGCGCCCACCTGCAGCAGGTGCTCCACCACCTCCCGGCGACCGTACCCTGCACCGCAGAGGGCGAGCGCTCACCGACAGGTCAGGGCTGGGTAATCTGACCTGACCTGACCTGACCAGCCCTGACCTGCTCGCCCGTGAGCAGGTCAGGGCTGGGGTAATCTGGGACTTGGCCCAGTCAGATTAGGTTCTGCACTCTTCCTTCAGCTGGGCTTTGAGCTAGTCCCAGCCCTGCTCAACTTGTGTCATGAGGTTTATCTGACCCAAAGCTGTGCCTGGCTTCAGAACACAAATTTTGATGGGTCTTCAGAACTATCTGCTAGTTACTTTACTATTACCCAGGATTTACCATAAATGGAAGCAAGCTATTACCATGCAGGCTTTTATCTGGTAAGGATCTGGGGCCATGTTCTGATTGCTTGGTGTGAATGTAAATAGGCATCCCTAATGCATGAAATGCAACATGTAGTTCTTCACTGACAAATAACCACCTCTACTGCTGTGAGGTTTGCAAGGCTGGCACTGATTAAAAAGATGCTGTGGAAATGTCTGATCCTCATAGTTGGCAACTGAGTGAGACAAAAAATATTATGTAGACAGTTTGCATTAAGGTCATCTCTGGCTTTCCAAACACATCCCTGAATGGCTATGATGCTTTTCCACACCAGTGTGAGAATAGGCATGGTTTCACACAATAATGACCCAGGTCCATTTCAACCAAAAAGGAAATGTCTCTCTGACACTGTTTATTGAAATATAGGTCCTTTTGCAAGGAAGACCAAGCATGTGGCAACAGTGAGGCATAGGACACCACCATGCTTGTACCAGCAGCACAGATCCCATGTTCAATGAGCATAATGCATTTTATGCCAGACCACAAAGTGAGACACAAAACCATTGCCAAATTAGAGACATGTGATATATGCATAAAATAAAATACATAAGCATCTAGTCTTCAGCAAGGATGACCTCTTCATCAGCACCCTTCCCCTCCATAACTAGACCTTATCCTCATGGAGTTGCCAGGCCACCAGAGCATTAATGATCATCAGGAGCCATGCTGAACATGATATAATGGGGATGCCCTGCCAGGGAGGCTAGGCTGCTTCTACCTATATCATGCAATAAAAGAATCTTATAAAGCAGGAGGTAACACCTAAATTAGGAATGTATGACTTTGACATATTAGATAACAAGCTTGACTACACAAGGTCTGACTGAATCTGGCACAACCTCCCAGCATTTAATTGATACATGCAAAAAACATAAGCTAAGCTGCAAAATATAGGGCAATGCATGTTACAAGTCATTCTGGACAATGATTGACCAGATGCAACTATTAACCATGTTATAATTATATAAGAGAAAATATTTTAGATGACAGTTCATCTTATTTTCAAATGCTGGTCAAAGTGAAGTATCTATTCTTAACCATATATAATAGATTTGGATGCACAAATGCTGGACACACAAGTCAAAATTTAGTAGCAAACATTTAAATAAGACTTGAACCAGCCCATGTATTACACCTACTACATAATCTGCCTGTAGGATATATGCAATTTCATGAATAATGGCAGTGGGATTAACATTTCACAGTGTTCTCTTGGGAAATTTGAACTCTCATTAATGCACATACAAGCAAGATGCATTAAGTATGAGGTGGCATGCTGCAGAGGCTGCAAATTCTTGTTCTTGCATGTTTAACACAATAACTGAAACATCCCAAAAAGCAATACTAAATTTATTTGGCTGGATGTAATTTATATCTTCCATCCCTTAGCATTTGATATATGCATTTCTTGCACAGGTTTCCATAATTTGGTGCATATATATTTGTGAATTGAGTACCAGATGTTTGGCAACCTGGCATTAAGGTACATCCATCAAGAGGCACAAATGAAGGTACTACTCCACTTTGACCTTGAACATCCAACTGAACTGGGAAAACAAACCCCAAAAGTATAACATACAATATTATTATAATAATGTTTAATAACATAATGACATTAATACTGTGAACCACTTTCATGACATTTTGTACAACAAAAACCCTTTAAATGTGCATGTCCCATTACAATGTCAATCAAAATGGTATCTGATGACAAACTCTGCTCTTACCAAACATTACCAACAAAATGTCACAGCAGCAAGTTGTGATAATTTTACAGTGAGATCTAGGAAGCAAGGGGATAAAGGCAAAGAGAGAACCGCTGTTAACAATAAAAAGAACTCAACAAAAAATACAGCACCCACCTGCTGCAATGTGGAGTGGAGATGACTTCCGACCAGCACTATCCCTGGCATTCACTGTTTGGTTTGTAACAAGCTTCTTTACTTTTGAAATCTCACCAACTCTACAGGCCTCGAACATTTCCCTAAGCGGGTCATTTGGGCATTCAGAAAGCTGTCTGAAGGCAGTGATAAGGCAGTTCTACGCGACATTCTTGTTTTGTCGTCATACAGACAATTCAACAAAGATCAATCGAGTATCCCCTATGCATGTTGACGAAAACAAGACCAGTCAAAGGACAACGCCCTTCGTGAAAACGTAAGCGCCTTCATTTTATCACAAGCCTCGAAACTCCCGAACAAAAATATTGACGTGCGTCAACACACCAACCCCACGCAAGCAAACAAAGCACAGTAATCAATGTGGCGCATGTGGCGCACGCTGTCAGGTTACGGCCACCAATTTGATAATTCAAAGATTAAGAAGCTCTGAGCAAAGGTAACAACCATATAAGAAACAAATTCAACGTCGGAAGCGTGATATCAAAAGCTCCTTCAATTTTAAACAATGAACAATAGCTGAAGATATCGGCTCGAAGGACATGATGAATGACGCAGACCCGGGTAGTGGTGAACAACGGGGTGGGCGGTGCGTTTAGGGGGGACGTCTCGAGGGACGGCCCGCTGCGCCATTCTCATCCCTCTGTAGTTGCTCACCAGCTCTACTACCCTCTCACAGCACACTGTGCCGAAGTAGGGAGTCGGGAGTGTTATGTATCCTGACAGTTAGCCGTGGTTCGACAGCGGCTCGCGGTATACGCCGTTGCGGTCGTACCACGACGCAACTGCTGATACCGCCGAGACAACACCAGAGGTCTAAGATTCTACCACCGCGGTACCAGTGGTCGCTGCTGCATCAGTAAGGGCGGTACTAGAGTGATATCTGGAAATGCTGGAACTTCTCCGGTACCAAGAAACGTTCGAAAGGCGGCGTCGCAAGCACCAACCATATATTGCCGGCGCGTGGCCAACAGCCATGCGTTCAAGTCTGTCCCAGAACCGGCCACCATCATGTTTGCACGATCATGTTGCACGATCATGTTCTTCATAAATTAAGTACGCGCCCGGCAACTAACGTCCTGATGTACGGCTGATTGCATCGCCTTTTCCCGATAATAATAATCTGGTGAGTTGTCTGGCGGCCTCTGACCGACGATCCGCGACCGGTGCGCTAATCGGATAGAGTTCGGTAGCCTCGTCACCACACCACTCAACTATGCTCGCGACTGCACACTGCAAAACCGCATGCCGCTAGCGCATGTGGAATAAACACGGCGGCCGTTAGGCATCGGATCAACTACCGGAAGAATACAACACGGACAAGATAATTATTTTCTATTGCATTTGTGTCCGAACCCGCCACACCAATGGATGACACCTGGCGTGATATTTCTCACCTTACAACGCGTGCTTACTCTGCGACACGGTGGCTTGCTAACTAGCCACCCGCAAGGAACCAGCCTTGCCCCTCTAAAAAAGCAAGTCAAAACATGACTACAGCACCTGCATGGCCATCGTCAGCAGGACGTTGTGACAAGACCAAAAACTACGTCAACCACATCCACCGCAGTCCACAGTCCACACTCGACCGCCAGCAGACCGGCGAGACCGGCAAGACCCGAACACCCACCGCAGTCCACAGTTCACACTCAACCGCCAACAGACCGGCGAGACCGGCAAGACCGAACATCCACCGCAGTCCACAGTTCACACTCGACCGCCAGCAGACCGGCGAGACCGGCAAGACCGGACACCCACCGCAGTCCACAGTCCACACTCGACCGCCAGCAGACCGGCGAGACCGGCAAGACCGAACATCCACCGCAGTCCACAGTCCACACTCGACCGCCAGCAAGACCAGTGAGGCCGGCAAGACCGAACACCCACCGCAGTCCACAGTCCACACTCGACCGCCAGCAGACCGGCGAGACCGGCAAGACCGAACACCCACCGCAGTCCACAGTCCACACTCGACCGCCAGCAGACCGGCGAGACCGGCAACACCGGACACCCACCGCAGTCCACAGTCCACACTCGACCCGCCAGCAAGACCAGTGAGACTGGCAAGACCGAACACCCACCGCAGCCCACAGTCCACACTCGACCGCCAGCAGACCGGCGAGACCGGCAAGACCGAACATCCACCGCAGTCCACAGTCCACACTCGACCGCCAGCATTCCACCGAGACCGGCCGCGCCGCGCTAGCTGTCGTCCGCCGGGGCCGGCGCGCCGTCCGGCAGCTGCTGCAGCACGTATTGCACGGCCTCCGGGAACGAGTCGGCCACGTGCGCCGGCGGCGGCTCGATCAGCGCCTCGTCGCCCGGCCGGTACTTGCCGGTGCGCACCAGCACGCCAGCCAGGCCGACCGCCTGGGCGCCGCCCCACATCATCGCGCGCGTCCTGCCGGAGCCGGGCCGGACGGCGTCAGTGCGGACGATGACGCGCCGCACCGGCGGCGACGGACGCGGAGGGGACGGCGTTGTACGGAGATCGCGCTAGGGTTCTCATACCCACCATGGTACAGGAGGTCCATCAGTACGCAACAATGGTGAAGACACAGCCTGATCACACGCCGCCACTGGTCCACCACGTGTTACGTTTTACACAATTTGCTTCCATAAAAAGAGATGTTTTGTGCACCAAGCACAAATGGTGCGAAGTTTCCATTCATGGGTTCATTATCATCATCATCACTTTGCCTGCTGTGCACAGTCAAAAGAGATCCTCACACATTCAACTCCAAACCGTGGATGTCAAGGTTCCACAGTTTCCAACAAACTGTGCAGCAACAGCACTGGCGCAAGTTAGCATGCATGGGTACCGACCCACGACCGGCAAGGTTTGGTTGTCACTGGTACTGGCTTCCAATACTTCCAATACACATAACAGCTCCATAACCGCTAGCAATGAAACGGTTGTCGGCTCCCAACACCTGATTAAAACAGCACCGAGCTGCACTTAATCAGTTGTGAGCAACATTAATGTAACCACTGGGGTCGAGGGGAGGGGCGGGAGACATGCCCTCCAATTTTCCCAAAATGGGTTTCCCCCAATTTGTCGCGCAGAATACACGCCTTTTGCGTATTCCCATTCAAAGTGTAATTTTCAGGTCAGGTTATTGTCCCAGGTTCCAGTTTGACCCTTCCACAGTTGATCTCTCCTCCCCAACCTTAAGGATGTGGTTACACCCAGCAGTGAGCTAGGGATGTGGACACCACTCACATCCCCGATCATGACGGCCTCTTCCGGCTGGCAGCCCAGCCCGTCTAGGGCAGCCCGGAAGAAGGCTGCACTCGGCTTGCCGATGACCTCCGCGTGCCGGCCGGTGGCGTACTCCAGCCCGGCGACGAACGGCCCCCGGGCCCAGCGCCAGCCCGTCAGACCGCCGGAAGTAGCGCCCCTTGTGAATGGCGATCAGATCCGCGCCCTCCAGCACCAGTCTGGGGAGCAGGCGACCAGAGCCGTGGCAGCTGGAGAACGGCGGCTCGAGAACGACCGCCTTAGGGGACCTCCGGAGGACAGCACTGGAAAGGTCAGGCGCCGTGCTGGGAGCGACAGCCAGTCTCTAAAGTAGAGTCGCTAGGAGAGTATGAGACATCTCAGACTGACGACAGTCCAGAATGACTAAGAATGGCTTCCACTGCTCAAGGAAAGCTCCTTTCAGGCATACCAGGCACCGCGATGAGAACGACAGTGAGCCTCGAGGCAAGGGCCTTACAGAAACACCAGACAGCCGGATGAGAACGACAGTGGGTTTCAAGAGCACCACATAAGTTAATCTCGTTAGAGAATTAAAACAACACTGGGAATCAGGCTGAGAATGACAGTGGGTCTCAAGGGAAGAGAATAACAGCAACATCGGACAGCGGGCTGAGGATGACAATGGGTCTCAAGAAATAACATTACAGCAACATCGAGCACCAGACTGAGAATGGCAATGGGTCTTAACAGCAGAGCATTACAGCAATATTGGGCACCAGACTAAGAACAACAAGGAGTCTTAAGGGAAGAGCATTACAGCAACATCCGACAACAGTCTGGGAATGACAGTGGGTCCCAGGGGAAGGGCTTTACAGCAACACCGGGCGCCGAGCTGCGCACAGACAACCAGACCGTGCCCGGCCGCACGTGTGGCCACCTAGTGTCACACCTGAAGGCCCGAGTCAGCGCGTCATAGTTGAAGTGGTCAGGCGCCAGGCCGACCAGCACGGCGTTCGGATTGGCCGTGTCAACACTGGCAAAGTCCTCGAGCGCCTCTGGCTGCAGCAGCAGCAGCGGCCGTAACTGGCGCTGGTCCACCAGCTGCCGGGCCGCGCTCAGCGAGCTGAAGATCTCGTTGCGCGCGATGCCGAAGCCGAGCGCTGATAGGCGTCCGTGCAGCATCGACAGTGACTCCTTACTGGCATTGGTGACAAAACGGACCTTCACATCGGTCTTTCGCAGCCTGCAAGATGTCCAGTTTCTTGTAACACTGTAATGTAACATTAAACAATGGCACCCAGCAAGGTTTTGTCAAATCTCAGTGTTTTGCATGACAGAGGCTGTACATGGCAAAGATGTTCATGAGATAGTAATTATGTGTCTTGCATTTATTATACACATCTAGCCTACTAGAGAAAAAAATGGAAAAATGGATTTTTTATGTTCTCAACAATCATTCCACATTAGTCATTAGTGCAAGCACTCATGGATGCAGCCTCAGGAACATCCTCAGTGAGCCTTACATGATTATTTGATCTTGATCTTAGATTTAGAAAGATCTATCAAACTTTGATCTTAGATTTCATCAGAAGTATCAGATGCTTTTACATTTGTATGCTGACACAGCATTACCACTTTACCACAAGTGGGACTTCAGACCTGAACACCATTCAGCATCCACCCATTGACACTATCAATACAAAACTGCTTATCTTTTAAAGGAGAAAAGTTAGGTGACTAGGAACCAAGGTGTTTTTAAGATATTTTCACAAAATAATGCATTCTTTTTTAATATATGCACAATGCATGTGCACCCTAGCATAAAAAATTTGAAAATTATTTTTCATTGTTCTTCAGATGTCATTTCAAAGGGCTCCACAAATCAAGGGTGTATCTTAATATGTCTTTAACCCTAGGTGCACAAAAGCTACACCTTGAAAAAAGGAAAAGAAAAAGGCTGGCCTTGCTATGTCTGGATGGCCTCCTTGCAAGGTACTGTGTTGTTGATGTTAGAGCCTGGCATGTACCATAACTATTCATTGATATGTATCACAGGTATTATATCCACAAGGTAAAACATCATGTCCATGTTTTCTTATTATTAACAATGTTTTCTGGGTTATAGAAGACAACTGATGTTTAGCATGTTCATGTAAGCCATGGGTAAATCCTCAGCAAGGCCAAAGATGACATTTCAGCTTTGCACTGCCCAATTGCAAATCAACACACCTTCCTGCCAAATGGTAGCCCATACATGGTTCTGAATATGACATGATGATGGGTATTCAACAGCACTAGCTGGTCATTTTCACCTGTCTAGTGCCTCACTGGCACCAGGGATCTTGCAATCCTCGATGAGAATGGTTCCACTGAGATCCACTAGCACCGCTTTGATCACGCGCTTCATTTTGAGACCTTTCAAGTTTTCCTTTGCAATAGGCGAACTGCCGTGGCAAGAGCAAGCGCTTGGGTTTACAAGGGTCTTGAGGGTTGTATGTTGCCTTATGTACTCAGAGCACAAATTAACCCGGTACCCCCAGACCTCGTTCCGGCCCGGTCCCGGCCTGGCACCTCGCTCGCCAACCTCAAGGCCATATAACAGAACCACGCGCCTAAAGCAGCGGCTCAAGTGCGCCGGTATCGATATATTTGCGTCATTACTCCTACCGTCAAGAAGTACCATATCCAAAATACAGCTAGGAATCCAGTATAATCTATAGACTTAATACCATATGTAGACCTGCTCCGTTCGATATTCGGAACACTTGTCAGTTTGCCTGTTCAAAACATTCAAGCCATCCACATGTTGAAAGCTCCTGACGGCTGGATGCAAAAGAAATCGGGCAAATGATTTATAAGGTCATGATGTTGCCATAGATTATTGGCCTTGATTGTGACCTTGGCCGTGATAATTCTAAGCTTTACTAGCACAAGTGCTGCACTTCCTGCTAATGTGGAAGCCCACACATAGGCGGATCCTGGGGGTGGAGGCCATGCCCCCCCCCCTAAAACCTCTGAGTTTGTTTTGAGCCCCCCCAAAAACATTTCCAGAACTTCATAAAAGTTTCGTCTACTTACGGTCTGTTTAAATTTAACTGTTTTAACTGTTTTGTTTTAACTTCTGTTTAAGATTCAAAAGCATTTCGGTGTTTTTTTTTTTGTTGTTTTGAATGGTGTTCCTACTAGGTACTCGCGAGAGGCACCATGCACTAGACCTCGGATCCCACACCAGCCAGCTGGCGACGAACGGCTGCCCGTCCCCCCCCCCCCCCCCCCCGCCAAAAAAAAACTCCGGGATAGATCGCCCCTGAGCCTACAAACATGCAGAATGTGGCCAACGGTACTGGTTCACGGTTAGCATGAAGCAAACTGGATACGAAGTGAGTAAATATCAACTACTGATCCACGCCAGAGCAGAAGTGCAGTTTCTCAAAACCTGTAAGCGTGCTGAGCAGTTAAACATAACTAGAACCTGCTCTCACAATCCAAAAAGAACTTATTTTCTCGACTTTGACCATCCTTTTCCAAATTGAGCCTTCCCTTCTAGACTGAATGGAAATTAAGAGATGACACCTCCGCCGCATATCCATAGGAACAGCTAGCCACTGCAGATGAATGGTGTGGCATCCGTCCTTTTCATCCTCAATCTTGCTTCATCCTGCGTCCTCGCGACACCCCTCTTGTTCGGGGCAGGCTACATGCGTCAGCCACGAGTGGGCCGAGAGCCCCCGTGGGAAGGGGGACCCCGACCGGGTACCCGAACATACGCGGGTTAAAGCTTGGCAGTTGGCCCCCCAGGGGCATGCACGTCTACCCCATCGTCAACCATTTTCCTTCGTCCCACAGCCCTGAAATGATCATGTCTGGTGAAAAGGGCTCTAATCCCAAAACTGAATGTTGTGGAAGCATACTGAGCTCTCATTGGTTCCAATAAAGTTGCTGGGCTACGTTGAACGGGCCGTAAAATGTTTACCATAATATTATACTAAAATTTTCCGAGTCAATCCCAGAATTTGGAAGCGCCAAGAAGTACGTCTGCTTGCTTGCGGGGTGCGAAGCAAAGTCGCCGGTTTGACGTCGATCGTGTGCATGTGAGGAGGCGCGGGAGTGCTGTGGCGGTGGTAATTCTGTCCGTGTTTTGACCTGTGATTGGTAGAGCCCAGTCGGCAGGTACTTTATTTCCATACTGTACCTTTAGTCAGTGAATTTCGATATGGATCCGGAGGCGTTCTTGGACCTGGCGAACCAAGTGACGAAGCTTAATCCATTTCCATACTTTGATATTGCTCACTGTGCCATTACTTGCTTTTATGTGCGAGAAGATATTGGTGCAGGTAAGTTGCCATGAAAATTTTGTGTTAAATGGCTCATTCATGTTTGGGATAGTCTTAGGTAACTATTTCAGATGGCTGGTACCAAGCGCTAGAGGGATAAATAGACACCATGCTATGTGGAATTGGAATTCCCCAGCTCGTCTGGAAGAGCGCAATAAACTGTTGCAAAAATTAATGCTTCTAGTTGTTTGAGATTCTGTGGGTAAACTGAGCTTTGCTAAAACAGGAGATGAACAAAGGTTAAATGTAGGCACAGGTTTTCTGGGTCAAAGCCATGAATGATCTTTATTACATGCTTATCATATTTTAGCTTATGGCTGACCATAGACTTGGCCACAAGAGGACTGTGGAGGAGTTCCCAGCCCTACAGAACTCAGCAGTGGGTTACTTTACCCATACCATTGAATAAGAGATCAGTGTCTCCAACCCCTTCATTCTCTGTGCTTGTTTTTGCCTACCAGAGCTGCTGAAGGTAATGCTGCTTTTTCCAATGTCAGACTGTTTATCATGAATAATTTGGATGGGTATGTTTGTGTATGCCCTTATGTTCTCAAAGCTGCTAAATTTTCCCTTGGTTAAAGACATATACCCATACATTTGTTCAGAAGTATTTCTCTGGATTATACTTCCAGCCATTCCCTCCCAGAGTAAAAGTTTAGAATGTTTAAGAATTATCAAATTTGAAAATCTTGTATTCTTACAATGCCAGTTTCAGCATACTGTTTTAAGTATGCCCAAACTTATTAGGCATCATAGATATAACATCAAACATTTTCTGTGAATTACTTCAGCATGTAAATGCAATATATCAAGTAATCATGACTTGCAATGACTAGAATGGAGTTTAGCATAATCTTTCTAACACAATACCCATAAATAAGTTTAAAGCCAACTGCCTTGAGCAATTGATACAAATATGAGATACCAAGGGGCTGGAAGGTAATTGAAGCATTTCCAAAAATGTTAAGCTATGTGGGTTTAGGCATTAATGGTTAAAAACCACTATCTGACATTATGGCAATGATGTTTTTCTTGTTGATACCTCTGACCATAGCAAATTGAAGCCCTAATGACATTCACCTCTGTGTTCATAACACCTCTGGCTCAGTCACAAGAAGCACCATTATTTATTTGTTATGCTACAATGTTTTTAGGACACCTTCAAGGTGTTTGGTCATATTTTTCATCTGCATCAATGGGTAAAAGAAATGGATTAACAGAAGTTACAAAAGATAAGCACGGGAGGGACAAACAGGCTTACATCTTGATAGGCTATGACCATAGCAAATCAGGATCAGTACCATTTGACTGGGGAAAAACAGGCTATGATAGTGGGGATGTATGTGCATCAGTGGACATATACAGTATTAGATCAGTGTGTGCTCAATGTCAATGACAAACCATGCACACTTCAGTTACTGATGTTTTCTGTCATGTCCTGGCAACTAAAGCAGATACAACTCAGTTTGAAGCACACAGTATTGCTGAATGTGCTACCCCCCTCTACCTGCAAATCATATAGGCAGTTTAATACTCTCCTGCATCACCCTGGGCACAGTGTTACAGGAAAACGTGCAAGGTCGCGTTTGTAAACTGGTTTTGATTACGAACACTCGCCTCTACCACTGGAGCCCATATGACAAGGCGAACTATGCCGAGGTCATCCACCAGCCCTATCACTTCTGACCATTTTGTGCACAGAATGCTTTAGGTGATACCGGTGATGTGTTCATCGACACAAATTTCGCCGACTCTCTCTGCTGAAGAGGCGATGCCGGTGATAGCCAGGGGCCAGCCAGCTGCTCCCCTGTCATACCGTGTACGTCGGGAGCGCGCTTCTCAGGGCGTTCGCTAGAGACCGGGTGGGCGTGCGCTCTGCGCTTTACCATACAAATTCGTGGCACAGCATACGCCGGTTAGTAGCAGCTCGGGCATGCCAGTGCGTTCAAACGGCGTCTGCGGGGCTCGAAGACCATCCATCCCTTCCCTTAGGAAAAAACGATGGCGGACGAAAGCAAAGATAACCAGACAAGAAGTGTGACCGTTCCAACGCACAGAATTGCTTCAGATCCATTCACCATTCCCTGGTCCGGCCCGCAGCAAGCAAAACATGGGCTTTTGACGGGTTGTAGTTTCCTACCCAGTTTGCGTTTGGCTCCTCACCGAACTGTTTGATGGAAGTGGCCACGTCTGGGGAGAAACGCGTTTGCTGACGAATTTTGGGGATAGGTTTCTTCATTTGTCACTGCCCCTCCCCTCACCTCCCATCCCCTCCGCACCAACTCATGCAAAATGAGTCGTCTGCTTCTTGAAATATTCGTCCTAAAACGTGTGGTAGCAGTATGAGTGTCAACCAGCGAAGCGTCTCATGCTAAATGACACCAAAAGGCGAATTTCTGTGCATTATGCGCTGTGTAAACTTCAGATTATTTCCACGCACGTTGTTTGATCAGACGTGATTTCCTGCCGCCTTTCAGTGTGATCAAAATATGGCCTTCTTCATTCGATGAACTTGGAAAAGGTGAAATTTGCCTACCTCGAAGACGCTGCCCGCTCGGCCTGAAAATGAGCACAGACGTCGACGGCCGGCGCTGCAGCGCTGCCAAACCAGCGGTACATTTATAGATCCACGTCAGGAATTCTTTGCATATTGATGATAACCAGGGTAACCCTGGCCATCCCAACAAACAGGGAGATAAACACGCACAGCCAGCTGCTCGGTTTAGATGAGTGTTCTGTCTGGAAATCGTTCCGTCATTTTAAAACAGACCACTCCCGAGGTGCGTCAGTTATCGGCCGTGCGGGGGTCAATGGCTTCCCCTCTCAAGAAGATCTCAAATATACTACGCTGGAGCGTAAGCCGACTGGGCTATGAAAGAGGTCGCTGTGGCCAGTGTCCACAGAAAATGTCTGGCCTTTTGGCGACTCCTAACGACGGTCATCAAAAACGTTAACGTGGTCTGCTCTGGTCCGTGATATGGGCTGACTTAAGTAGATTCCAACATGCTGCCATTTACCGGGTGAAAATCACCGTTGTCTGGCGACGGTGACTTGTGCTGGGGAGCGAGTCTCGAAGCGTCGCCGTGCTGACATACTGCCTATTGGCGGCGCAGCCGTGGGTCGGAAAGAGTTAAGTCAGCCGCGGGTTCGTTTGTTTATGGAGCACTACTGTAAGCCACAGCTTGTGGTTTATGTTCGTATCTGTTCTGGTCAGCGAATAGCCATATGGAATGCATCAAACGGTCGAAAACCGAGCAGCTCCATCCGTGACCCGTATGTGTACATGACACGTGGCACACGGAACGGGAAACTGCTGCTATAATGGTGCTTGCTTTACTCGCTGGCAATACTTTGGGCAGAGACGTTGCGCGGCTGCCTCTTGACATTTCACAGCTCGCTGGTCCAGAGCCGGTTTTGAACCTCGATTTATCGCGCAAGACGACGTGATCGTGAGCATAACGGGGGGCCGTTCAGGAGATGATGTGGGGAACCGTTCAGGAGATGACGTAGGGGGCCGTTCAGGAGATGACGCGGGGGGCCGTTCAGGAGATGACGTAGGGGACCGTTCAGGAGATGACGTAGGGAACTGTTCAGGAGATGACGTAGGGGACCGTTCAGGAGATGATGTGGGGAGGGGACCGTTCAGGGGCTAACTCCGGGGACCGCTCAGACGGGCACGGTCGACAGATGACCTCCCGTGGTGCCCGGTTACTGGTCGAGTATGTGAGAGCTGTATGCACAGAAATGGAAAGGATCTCTCAATTGTTTTTTTTCTACATGAATTTGAAGGTCTTTTGAAATTCATGGAGCGTTCGCAGCTGACAACATTCTGCGGGCAGATATGGTATTGACGTCACCACTGCCACTGTGTCACTGCAATCAAGCCATCAAAATAGTCGAATACAGTAATCAGAGTAACGCAGCAGCAATCAAAATGGTGCATGCGTTGTGGAAAAAGCCAAAAAAACAGGTGTCTTCACGCAAATGTGTCAGTTGCATGTGGACACTACGTCATCGTTGGCATAGATAATACGTTAACACTACATTAACACGTGGCGGCTCTCAGCCATCTACAAATAATTTTCGCTGAATTCTGAAAACACTTAAGCTTCAATTGCCTAAAGGTTATCGTGGTTCACCCAATATCCCTGTGTTGACACGTCTGAAAGATTATGAAATATTTCGGAAAATCTGGCTTGAACATGTCACCTATCTTAACAACACTCACCTGTCACATCACATGTCATCCGATGTTAAACACTGCTAGATCTTACGTATAAGTGGGGCGCGTATGTCGTATTATTGCACGAAATAGGGATCCAAAGCAGAGCAGATAACAAACGCCAGCATCGACAAGGTTAAACGCATTTGGGTTAATGAACCAGGCTGCATTTCAGCCTTGTGCCCCGTTCATGGCAGATCTTTTGTCAGGTTCGTAAGATACCGCCAGCCGGCTGTTCCAAATTATTTGGATGAACAACTTTCCAATCGCATGCTGAGTTTGTTGTTGACGCGACGTATCAATCAGGTAGCTGCCATCAACCGGGCAAATTCAGTTAATAAATGCACGCTTCGGGTGAGGTGCACTGCCTGCTTTGTTGGGTGTGGTTTGGGTGCCCGTGTGCTGCTGTATCTGCGCTGTCTCTGGAGCCGTCTGGGTGTGACGAGTGTCCGCCGGGCGGCCGGCGTCCCCGTCTGCGGCCGCCAGCCGCGCCCCCGCCCGCCGGCCTGCTATATTTGCCCAGCGGCGACGCCGGGTATTCTTGGCCTGGGGCGGGGGCGCGCCGCCGACGGCTCCGGGCCGCCGCCAGCCGGCCGCGTGCCGCGCTGCGCCGGGCCGCAACCCGACCAGTAACCGCGCCGAGCCGCGACCCGACCAGTAACCGGGCCGAGCCGTGACCCGACCAGTAACCGCGCCAAGCCGCGACCCGACCAGTAACCGGTCCGAGCCGCAACCCGACCAGTAACCGGTCCGAGCCGCAACCCGACCAGTAACCGGG